TAAATGGTGTTATTATAACTTAGGATCTGCCGTGTGAAACGTAATTATTATGAACCCAATTTATGTAGATGTTATTATGAAAGTTCTTACGTGAACTTAATTAGATGTTGTTATTATATAATAATTTCATTGATTTGTTTTTACCTACTTTTTAACCGACGTCGAAAAAAGGAGGTGGTTCTCAATTCGTTGGTTTTTGTTTATGTATGTTCAGTCCCCCGATTTCTCGAAGATGCCTGAATCGATTTGGAAAATTATTTTTTTGTTTGAAAGGACATATTTTCCAGATAATCCCACGGTAATCGATGATGGTCAGGACAGTGATCTGATGATGGGATCTTGGAGAAATCGGGGGCACTCTTCAATAAGTGACATCAAATCAACCGCTATTACTGCTATCGCCTATCTATGCATTCTTTACGCAATCACACAATATAATATCACGCCTGTACCCACTAAAGGGACATAACTCTCAACTAAAATTGGTAACATAAAAAACTTTAAAAAAAATATAACCATTTCTAAAACAAACAAAAAAGTGTAACATAATTATGTTTTCTTTATGTTTTTGTATTTTATTGTAGGTTATGCAAGTATTACTAAGTATTCTAAATAGGTATTTACTTACCATAGCTAGTTAGCTATAATAGCCCACAGGCAACTCCCCGAAGTATATGCCAGCCAGTGTCAGGATAACTGCTTTTTCGACAGCGCGATTTTGATGTGAGTGGGGCTTTTATATAGGTTAATTAAATAAATAAAAAATGTTACTTTGTAAATTGTTTATTGATTGTTTGTGTCCAATAGCGGTTTGCAGTATTCTCTTAGTACTTAGAAAGTTATCAACAATAGGCATTGTGCCACTGCAGGGACAAGCACAAAGGTCTTACAAAATAGTAACATATATAAACGGAATACTAACAGCACAGACTTCCTTACAGAAGTCCAAAGAACACGTCTAGACAAGGTAAGTAATTAGAAGAAAACTACAATTTAGAGATCGATTGTAAATCAAATTCACAGTACAGACACAATTAGCGAAATATAAATAAATTTTTAATTTATTTTATGATAGATAACGCTAGTTGAAAACTAAACACTGTATGGGAATGACATCACTGAACGAGTCAGGTGGTCAGTCCAAACAAATAAAAGGCGCGAATGTAGAAAGAGATTCGTTTCGAAACGTTTGTAGGCTAGGGGGCTTGGCCTATTTTTGCTATTCATAACGAAGGCTATAAAATATGTACAACTTAGAAACTAAATCCTATGTGTACTTATCTGTATTCATAACCCAATATCTGAGGTAGATTGATGCGCTCCTTAGTTTTTATATAGTTCGTATTATTCTGTAATAAATTAAATCTAATCCAAAATATACTATAATATCATAGCAAAGCTACTACTATTTTATTTAGTAGTAGCTTATATAGTAGTATAGTAAATTATATATAAAAATATGAGTATGTCTGAGGTAAGGTTAAATATAAAAAAATATTTTGCTAAGTTCGAATCGGACTTCCGAGCTTACGTACTATCTTACAATATTTAAATACCTGTACACATAGGTATTACTATCGATCAAAAAAAGCCAAAAATACACATTTTTTTCTAGTAGAAAATCCTTTAATTTCATATTTATTTTTACTATTTGCTGTTATAGCGGCAACAGAAATACACGTTCTGTAAAAATTACAACCATCTACCTGTTACGGATCATGAGATGCAGCCCGCTGACAGAAAGACACACGGGCAACGGAGGCTCCGTAATAGGGCCCTGCTGGTTACTCTTCGGGTACGGAATCCTAAAAAGTACTTAGTTCTGTCTGTCTGTCTGTCTACTTAGTGATTCTTTCTTCAAAGGACCATATTAGCCTGGTTCTCGTATGACATGACCAATGTAATACCTGGACTGACCTCTCTGAGTTTGTTTCGGCAGATCGGGTGCTTCTTCTCAGTTTCATGTTTTTGTTGTGTTGTGTTTTAAAAAAACAACTTACAAAACAAATTTTATTTATCATTGACTGCCCTTCTTAGATTCTTATGTACTTACATAAATTACATTAGGTATATTAGGATATGAGATTCCTATACGTAAGCACGATTATCGAAAATCTAAAAATTACCTATTCTAATTAAATTAAAAATAAGATGTTTTCGTTAGTTAGCAAATTAAAGTAGTTAAGTACCTAATGTACTACCTGTATCGAAAGTTCATTATTATGTACCTACCTGTTTTCTATTTTAACTAAATGTGCTTCAACAAACTTATGGGCAAATTTTAGCAGCTATATTCATCCCGGCTTCAGCAATGGACACGAACAAAAGGAAGCAATTTTTCTAAATAAAGATGTAGATATGTAGGTATTACAACCATAAATAGATAGCAGCGGCTAACCTAGTGAGCATGTGTGAGTGCGCGCTGCGTCCCCCCCCCCCCTCCGTCCGTCCCATTTATCGTGGAAACAATTTGTAGAGAAAGGCAAGATGATTTACAATAAAAAACCGGCCAAGAGCGTGTCGGGCCACGCTCAGTGTAGGGTTCCGTAGTTTCCCGTCCGTCACAATAAATGTTCCCACTTATGAGTTTAAAGGTGGGTATCTATTATGTTCGCGCTCCTGCAACTGCTCCCGGTTGGGGTATGGTTCAAACGTTAAAGGGGGGGGGGGACACATTGTTTTTTACTTTTGGAGCGATTATTTCCGAAATTATTGACATAATCAAAAAATGATTTTAGTAAACCCCTATTCATTTTTAAATACCTTTCCAACAATATATCACACGTTAGGGTTGAAATTAAAAAAAAATCACTTCCCACTTTACATATAGGGGGGCTACCCTAATAAAACATTTTTTTCCAATTTTTATTTTACCACTTTGTCGGCGTGATTGATACACATATTGGTATCAAATTTCAGCTTTCTAGTGCTAACGGTCACAGAGATTAAGCGAGGACGGACAGACGGACAGACAGACATGGCGAAACTATAAGGGTTCCTACTTGACTGCGGAACCCTAACAAAAAGGAGCGCGCGAAATTTTATAAACAGACCTTTGGTAGTCTGGATGTCATAGAAAATCTATTGAATGTATCTGTTTAAAATAAAATTATTTGCATTTTTGAACAACTAATCTATCCCTGTATGGTAATTGTTTTAATAATATAAATAAATTGTGTAAATTTGTTCTTCTTATGGTATTTATTTCCGCCCAAAGATGTGTTAAAACTAGTGTTGAAATTTGGAATTTTCGACTCTTATAACTTTTAAACATACTCTTTTTTTACTTTTTTGTATTATTTATACAGGGCTAGATGAGATGAGACAAATTGAAATCATTTTTTATTTTGAACGTACACCAAACAGTGGAGTAATCGCCAGACTACGTTTGTGTGGAAGAATAAGCGACTAGTGTACCCTTAAGATAAAGGTTATAGATAGATATATAAGGGATGTAGCACTAGCTACGAGTCCATAAATTACAACCAGCATGCTTACCGCAGAGGCAAATCTACGAAAACAGCCCTGATCAGTGTCATTGACAGGGTCGAAAAAGCACTGGAGGATAAAGAAATAGCTCTTTGTCTACGGCGCCTTCGACAGTAGCCCCACATCACTGCTGATTGGGGGATCAGCCATCAGATGGGTGAAGTCGATGCTCTCAAAGAGAAAGGCAAAAATATCGCTGTTTCAAACTTCGATTGAGGTTGCAACTACAAGAGGCTACCCACAAGGAGATGTTTTGTCACCCCTTCTTTGGACTCTTGCGGTTGACCAACTATTGTACAAAATAGCAGACCTACGCATTGACACATTGGGTTATGCTGATGACCTTGTGATCTTTGCTGGGGGGCTTTTGCCAAAGTACTTTATCGTCAATAATACAAAGAGCTCTAAACACCATAAATAACTGGTGTAGGGATAACAGTTTATCAGTTAATGCTGGTAAAACTCCACCACACACTTTTGATAAAAAGTATATAGTGGAATTACCTTCCAGAGAAGAAAGAAAGAAAGAAAGAAGGGAAAGGTTATCTGTGAGGTCGGTAGCCTCATATGGTATACCGATGGGTCTAAAATGGGCCTCGACGTAGGCTTTGGAATTTACAGGAAACGCTCCAAATTCAAACTTAGCATGAATTTGGTTAGATACACCTCTATCTTCCAGGCAGAAATTTTCGCCATACTTCGGTGTGCGGAAATCAATCTGCAAAAACACTACGTCAACCATATAATTTACATAAACTCTGATAGTCAAGCAGCACTGCTAGCGCTGAGGTCAAACTTAGTGAAATCGAAGCTAGCTGGAGACTGCGTGAACCGTTTAAACGCCTTGGGATGTAACAACAGGGTCGTTTTAATATGGGTTCCGGGTCACGAGGGTATTGTAGGCAACGAATTTGCCGACAAACTTGCACGGGAGGGCTCAAAGTGCACACAATTTGGACCTGAGTCATTTTGTGGAATCCCAAGAAGCCTAGCCCGATTGACCCTTGAAACTCTTTATCACAATAAATCACTTAAGATCTGGTCTGACACTCAGACATAAAACACTCTAAAACATTAATCCGGGTTTTTAATTGTAAATTCGTTTCAGGAGCTCTGTGATTAAGCAAAAATAAATTGCGCATTCTGGCAAGAGCCCTAACTGGTCACTGTTGTCTTAAAGAGCACATGTCCATCCTGAGACTAAGCAACTCAAGGATGTGTCGGTTCTGTTCCATAACTGAAGAAACGCCTCTACACATCCTATGGCGGCCACATACGTAGCGGTATACCTGAACGGTATACCGGAACCGAAGGCTTGTGCAAGTACCCGTGTGTGACAAAACTTGCACAAGTTTCCTGACTTGCACAAGTCTGGTAGGCAGATCAAAACTACGATCTGTATACCTGCGCAAACTAGTTTGTGCGAGTATGCATGAGCGTGTGTGTCGGAACGCTTCAGTCGCACGCGCGCCAGTGCTTCGGTCGGTTTGTGTGTTTATTTTCGCGCCAAAATGTCTGTCGATTCACGCCGCAGTAATAGAGAGAAATTAGAAGAGTTTATAGATTTATACAGGAAGTTACCATGTCTATGGCAAATAAAAAGTAAAGAATACCATATTCGCGACAAAAAGAACGCTGCATACCAACAATTGGTAGATGTTTTGAAAGAAATAGAGCCGGACGCGAATCGGGAATCAGTGATTAAAAAAATTAATACCTACAGGACAAATTACCGAAAAGAACAGAAAAAAGTCGAAAATTTTAAGAAATCAGGGGCAGGCATTAACGATGTATACCTGCCGAGTCTATGGTACTACGATAAATTGCATTTTATCCGCGACCAAGAGACACCAAGAACATCGCAATCGAACCTGACTGAGGAATCTACGGAGGAATCTACGGTAACATTTTTGTTCTGGCTTCACAAAAATTTAAACAAAATAAAATTCAATTCTAAAACTATTTATTAATTTTTTTAATTTATGAAATTATTTTGCCAAGAAACACTGCCTTCATTACTAAAGTAATCGATAAACTGTTCCCGAATATTCTTTGCATTGAATGCGGTATTCCCATATCCCCTTCTATTTAATGGGATCATGTGGTCACCCGCATGTAACCCTGGCAAGATAGTTCCATTTTCTGCATTTTCTTGGTCAAAACATTCAGAAGGCGAGTAGTGATTACGTGAACGAGCGATTAGAAAGTTGTGCAAAGCACAGCTCGCCATTACTACAGATTCAATATTATTTGGTTCTATATTAATTTGTGTGTGGAAAATTCTGAACCTAGCCGCCAATATACCGAACGCATTTTCAACTATGTGCCTCGCTCGAGATAAACGGTAATTGAAGATCTTTCTATCTTGTGAATTCAATTCCGTTTGTCTAAATGGCTTCATCATATCACACCTCAAAGGAAATGCATCATCAGTTACGAAAACGTATGGCAATACTTTATAGCTGTTGTTAATTTTTTCTTCCACCGGAATCTTTAACAGATTTTTCTCAAGTTTCTTGTAGAAAACTGTATTTTGCAGAACACCGCCATCTGATACTCTGCCATTTGTGCCAAAATCGCACATAATAAATCGATATTTGGCATCCACAATTGTTAACAGAACCATACTATGCCGCCCTTTGTAATTGTAATAATAAGATCCGCTTTCACTCGGTGGAATAATATCTATATGTTTCCCGTCAATTGAGCCGATACAGTGAGGAAAATTCCATCTGTATTCAAAGGTTTTTGCGATATCTTTTCAATCTTCTTCTGTTTTCGGAAACTGAAACAAATATGAAAATAAATCTTAATAAAGGTGAAGTGAACGAGGTCCCTGTAGGTACTTAAGCTTTTTACCTACGTTTTTTTATAAAAAAATACTTATATTTAACTTATTGTTACAGACAGAAGAAACAGAGGAAGTTGAAACTGATGGAGTTGAAATCTACACTGAGTCTTCTTCTGACGCCGTTCAAAGTCCACAAGCATCGACGTCTTCTACAGTCGTCCAAAGTCTACACCCACCGACACCTTCAAGATATCGGTCAAGGCTGACAAAAAGGACTTCAAATACTGATTCCGTAACTGAAGATGTTCTTCTGTCGGTGCGTGATCATTTCAAACGTCCGGCTGTACCCGAAGATGGTTGCGACGTTTTTGGCAAAATGGTGGCAATGAAATTGCGTGACTTGCCCAGAGAACAGAGATTGTTTGCAGAAAAAAATATTACTGATACGTTATTTGAGGCACAATTTGGTAACTTAATGATATCACACAAGCTCACAAGTTCAACTCCGCTAAATCAGGTACAACAACAAATCCATCAGCAGCAGATGTTATCGGAATCTCATTACTCAAATAACAGAAATATAAATTACAATTTACAATCTCAGCAGAGTCAACCGACATATTTTCATCAAATACGATCACATGCACCAACTAGGCCAGACCCACAAATTTCGGATACCAGCCTTCAATTATCGGGTTCACTTTCCACCGAAAACATGTCCATGGGGACTTTATTTTCTCAGTTTAACGGTGAAAATTAAGGCCTGTACCTAATTAAAACTCTGCCTCTGTATTTTTTTTAATAAAAGTAAACTTTTGATTATAATCTTGTGGTTTTACTTACCTTCAAATAATTTGTGCGAAGTACTTCATAGATAGCGTTACATGTCTCAGGGATAATGATGCCTAGAGCTTGAGGTGATATTATTGTTGAAAACTTAAGATCTTCGTAACTTCTACCAGTCGCCAGGAATCTCAAAGTTGCTGTTAACCTCTCATGCGGTATTATCGCTGGGCGCATTATCGTGTCATTCTTTTGTATCAATGGCGTTACTAAGGACAAGAGTTCCAAATATGTGTTTTCATCCATACGCAAATAATTGTGCCAGTCCTTCGTAGCGAATTTCAATTCATATAAAAGGTTGGTGTGGGAATACTTATTTCTTTTCAGTAACCATTCTTTACACCATACAGAACGTTTCTTCTTACACTTGTCTTTTTTCTTAATAGCTAGCACCAAACCAACAATAGCCAAAACGTGATCATTTGTGGGTGCCGGTGGCATATTTCACAAAATACTTATTGCACACAACACGACTTCTTCGGTTTGTCACAGGCGCAGAACTGAGACTGCACAGGCATACTTGAATCGTGTGTGGTCACTATGGACGTTAGGTATACTTGCACAAGCCTTCAGTTCCGGTATACCGTTCAGGTATACCGCTTCGTATGTGGCCGCCACACTCATCTGGGTAACTATGTACTTCGCCCAGAAGAAGTGAAATTGCTCACGGCTAAGCAACTCTTTCTATTCATTGAAGACATAGGGCTTAGCCGTGAACTACAGCCAAAACAGCGATCACTACAGTAGATCTTATAGTTCACAGTGATTCTGGTCTCTTTCCCTAGACCTGCATAGCTGCGCGCATATAGTAATAAAAAAAAGAATTAAAATTATAAAAAACATAATTTATAATTTATTTATTAATAGATAATAATAAGTAGTTATGTGTTATTAGTTACTCGAGCAGTGTATGGGGCAGTGGAGTACAATCCTCTGTCATCTAGGCGAGCGGATGACGGCTGCGGAAAGCCGCATAAGTGCGCATAAGGATAAGAAGGGGTATATTCCAGGGCGACTGTCCGAGTCCAATCTGGTTCTGCCTCTCTTTGAACCCTCTCAGTACTTTACTGGAGGGCTCCGGGAGGGGATTTCAGCTTCGGAAAGGAGGTACAAATGTGACCCAGCTTTTCTATATGGATGACCTCAAATTATTCGCCTCCAGTCGCTCCCATCTTATGGAATTGCTAAACATCACTTTTGAATTTAGCAATTCTATTAGAATGGAGCTGGAGACGGATAAGTGTGCGGTCCTCCATGTTGAAAGGGGAAGGGTTGCTAAATCTGAGGGCATAGACTTATCTATGCCCGTCAACTTAAGGACCCTTTCCGAGGCTGAAACATACCGATACCTGGGTATGTCACCACCAAACTGACTGTTTCATACCAGCCTCATGGGTGTATCGATGAGACTGGTATGAAACAGTCAGTTTGCGACGTGTTTTATGCACGCTTGACCAAAGTTCTTAACAACCTTTTGTCTGGTTTGAATAAGACACACGCATATAACGGCTGGGTCATGCCTGTCATGCCTTTGGCAAACTCAGGTGGAGTCAGGCTGAACTAAACTCCCTGGATAAAAAAGTCCGCACTACAGTGACGTCCCATACGATGCATCACCCGAGATCTTTGAATATGAGGCTGTACTTGTCGCGGAAATATGGTGGGCGTGGCTTATTAAGCGCGCTTATCATGCATAATCGCGAAGTGTGCAGCCTCCGTAACTACTTTCTGACGAGATCGGATAATCCATTCTATAGGGACGTCATTTGTTGTGATAAAGGGCTTACCCCTCTATCCTTGGCCAACGAGCAATAGCAAGAACTGGCAGTACAGAGCATTTCCGACCGGGAGACTGTATGGAAGGAGAAGGAGCTCCACGGGAGGTACTACAGGGCTCTTCATGAGCCCTTCGTAGATACAGTCGCCTCCCTCAACTGGCTATGTTTCGGTGACCTCTTCGGGGAAACCGAGGGTTTTGCCTGTGTAATACAGGATCAGTTTATTAACATCAACAACTATCGGAGATACATCTTAAAGGACAGCACCGTCGACGTCTGTCGAGCTTGTCGCCATCCCGGTGAGTCGCTTAGGCATGTCATCTCCGGTTGTTCGGCGCTTTCTAACTCTGAGTACTTGCACAGGCACAACTTAGTAGCCAGAATTCTACATCAGGAGCTCGCTCTGAAATACGATCTCGTGGACCGGAAATTGCCGTATTACAAGTACTTGCCGGAAACCGTGCTCAAAAATGACCGCGCCAGGCTCTACTGGGACCGGGCCATCATCACAAACAGGACTATTCTTGCGAATAAGCCTGATATTGTGCTGACGGATCGGGCACAGTCAGGAATATTTTTGGTCGATATTACTATTCCGTATGACAAGAACCTTGTGAAAGCCGAAACAGATAAGCAATCAAAATACCTGGACCTAAATAATGGACCTGGCTCATGAGGTGACCGACATGTGTGTCTCTGCGAACGGGTTAATCCCAGTTAGCCTCTCTGGTCATCTGAGGCGACTGGGACTCCGTGACGGACCGCTCCGGGTTCAAATGCAGAAGGCGGTGCTCCTCGATACTGCCCTAATTTAAGGAGTGGTTTTTAAAATTATTAGATAATTTAAAGGAGCCACATTGCACTATTATGGATAACGCCCCATATCACTCGGTCCAAAAGCACAAACCAGCAACTTTGGCAAACAGAAAATTAGAAATCATTGCATGGCTTCAAGGAAAAGGAATAGAGGCCAATGAATGAAAAATATTCGTTTAATTTAGTAACGTTTGTAATTAAATTAAACCCAATTATTATATATGTTACATTAGCATCGATAATAGTAAGAAACATCGATAATTTCTATCGACAATTTTTTATATCTTACAACTCTAGGAATGTCAGTTTGACATATGTCGCAGAGATCAATTCTCTGTCTACGGCTCTACGGATCAAGCTACCTATCTTTTATCGTCTATAAGTATAACGTTCTTTTTCATTACTAAAATCATCTAATGACTCATGACGTTCTTACAGTATTTACTCTGCACATACGTACTACACACTTAATTTTTATAACACACGCGTCTGTGTGTCAGACTATCAGATTACCAACTTGGTTCCGGCATTCTAACGCTGTCTACATATTTGCCTAATTAAGGGGATATAGTAAGTCAGCTCAAATACTAATTTCGCCCCCACTTCCCGGGGCGTCGTATGCTATGTACCGACATGTTTGTAATCACTAATACTGTAAGTAGATTTTAATTTTACGTCGTTCTGTTGCGTAATGTGTATTCTGATCGTAAGCGACACAACTTCTCCCTTCAAAAGCCTAAGCGATACTAACGGGGCGACAGGACAGGAATCAAGCTTCAAGAGTCAAGACGCCGATAGTTTAGGTAATTTCTTTTTACAGTGAAAATAATGGTATTTAAAAAAAAAGTAAATAACATAAGCATTGCTTTATAGTTAGTTCAGTTAGTATGCAAAGTTTCATGATCTTATTTAAAGTATTTTATGAGTAACAGCGGTTTATTGTTCAGTTTGGAGGTAACTTGGGATTTTTTTTCTATCGAGAAAATTTTACGGAATCGTGTTTTCGTCTAACATAGTCCTTAACATTAATCCTCAACTTTATCATATATTTATTTCAAAATTAATGCTGCAATACTTTCGGCATAACGGAGGATCTTGCTAAGCCATTTGAGGTTATATTTCCCCTTAAATCCAATATATAAAATATAAAAGTGGCGTTTCTAAGATTTAGGTTTGGATGGCGCTTGACCTTGAGGTATCACAGTAAATATTAAAATCTCAAAAAAAACTTAAAGAGAATCATACAATAACCGAATCAACAACTCGCTAATAATTAAACTAATTCTTCGAACTACTTCGTTTATAATGGGACCAATTCGAAAATGCGCTAAAAATTAGTTATATCCCAATAAAAGTTGCGTACCTACTCGAACAAAAATGTAATTTTATCGTTTAGTATAGGATTTTACATGCAGATAAATACAGGGTTGGTCGCTGAAAAATGCGATTAATTTGCGTTGGTCCTTTTTAAGCTTTATATGACGTTCTATACAATTTCTTCGCCTTTCACTTTTAGTAAATCCTATTTCAACACGTGCATCAAAATCAAAATCTGAATCCTATTCAGACTAGCTGTTTAGCAAATCTAGAAGCAATATACGCCAACTCATTTTAGATAACAGTGGTAACTCTGTATAAACAATTCGCTCCAAGAAACACGTCTAGTAAGTTTGAAACAGTTTGAAAGAATGCGAGTGAATGTGAATCCCCAATCATGCTCCAATGTGGAGTTTAAAACACGAATTGATACCTACTAAAATTACGAGACAAACGATCATTGTGTCTTGAGTATATTTGAACTTCCATCACCGCAGTGGTTTTATTTACCCATTTCAACCATCATCTTTTTTTTGAACTAGCTGTACCCTGCGACCACGTCCGCTTGGAACATACTACGATTGAATTTCGTGCGTTTTAAATCGTTTTGCGCTGATTGTTTTTCTAAAATAAAAGTAACCTAAGCTACTCCTTATAACATCAGCTATCAGCCTGTAAAAGTCCCGTCAAAATCGCTCCACCCAGTTTGGAAATCAGTAAGAACAAATAGACAGACAGACAGCCAAGATTTAAAAAATTGTATTTTTTTTGTTATATGTACCGTGGCTACGACAACGCACACCTTTGCATTTCGTATTTGTTGATGTATTTTGTTAGTTGGGTTGGTTGACACAATCCCCCTCACTTCCGTTCCTTCCCCGCACGGGCCTGCCTAATAGGGGGAGCTAGATCTGATGGACGCATCTTTGGTCCTCCAATGAGAGGCGCGCTCCGCTAAACAGAAAGAGGAGGTGGTGAAAGATATAAGAAGACGCGCCGCCACCGACGTCGCTTCCCCACAACAAGCTTTCGGCTGACCTGAACTGCCTTCTGGCGGCTCAGGCCAAGTCTACATAACACATCCCTTAATCTGCCTTAGTTAGGCAGTCGTCTAAGCGGCTTTTCGCCGCTTGCGCCCTCCTTTCTGCCAAGAAGGGTCGCGTTCGTATACGACTTAGAGATCTCCAGTTAGACCGTTAAGCCAGTCCCTAAAAGGCGGTGTTTAGTGGGTAAAAGTCTCCACATAACCACGCAGCCGGCTGCGTGGTATGCTATGAGCATTCACCGCCACCCTCCCCCGCTTCGGGCGTAAAAAAAAAGACGTCGCAGTGCAATACAATTTTAATCGAGCCTGCAAGCCAAAAACAGTTCGCAATTATCATCATAGTATCCGCATGGCCGTAGAGAGAGGCCGCCCGCCGCTTCTCCCAGGTAAGTTCCTATCCTTATTTATGAGCTGTTTTATTTGTTGTGCCTTTATCCGCAGCAGCTCATCTCCCGTTGTGTCAGCCAAGGCATCAAATTAATTTCATAGCAAGTATATTGTCCAGAGTCCGCCACGTGCCACGTCCACCATTTTGTTTTGGTTCCTTTTGAACCGCGCTAATATAGATCATTTGATCATTTGCCCCGCCTTACATACCTTTCGTCATTTTCGCGCCCATCACCCATACCGTAAACATGGCTTTCATATCCATTTATTAAAAAACTGTTATTTTTATTTTACAAACGAACACTTCAATTTTAATTACTTGTATGGATACTTCAGTGGTTTTTGTGGCATTAGCCGACCACGGCCCTTTTTCCATGTGTTCAACTTTTTGTTCATTTAATTGAACGTATTTGATGTTTTTTTTTTTTGCTGCGCACGTCTACGTCTACTTTTGGTAATCGCATATTTTTCATTTTAACATTATTTTTTATGATGAGATGAAAAAAGGAAAACGGTGTTTGGGAAATGGAAACACAATAAACAGTTAATTTTATTAGGTAGTATTTTGTATTGTCAATTTATGTGTAGTATTTCACAATATTTGCAGACGATCTAGGAATAATGTACAAACTGTATTACCAATTACAATGATGACTCACATATTTATAAAATGTACAATATAATCTCATTCGTTTTAATCTTATTTAAATATATACAAAATATTAGATTTGATAAAAGTGTATACAATATCTATAATTAGAAAGTGATATAAATACATAAAAAATAATAATTGCTACGATATTTACAACTCGGTACTTAATCTATTTAGGCCTTATTTATATATCTTAATCTTGCTGAGGTGTTACCCTTGGATATAACTGAAACAAACGAAAAAAATATTATTATAATTTAGTACGGAAATGCAAGGTGCCGTGGTAGTCCAGGGACAGCCTTTACTTCCTAAGCTACCACGGTTCTGTAAATCGCATCAAATTAAAGTACGCGAGCAATCCAGTTGGGATTCCTACCGGCACCAATGAAATTGTTAATTGTAGTTTTAATTGCCAATGCACGTGATATACGTTTTCGGCGGCGAAGGAAAAAAAGATTAAGAAATATTTTGACGACATGTGGTCCGCAAAAACACACACTGGCGGTGGACTAATTAATAGGAACGACGAAGGATATATAACTTTCTGAGAAATGAGTGGGTGCCCAGCAGTATATGCGTCATATAGGCTGTAATTTTATACAATATTTTGCGTCACCTACAATTTTAAAATAATTTTTAATTGTTTCAAAATGTGTAAAAATTATACCATTATTCGTCTTTCACTTAACTTTTACCTTCTAAGAGATAGAGAGAGAGAGAAGATAACAGAATTCCCTGATGATAGGAATAAATAAGGTTAAGTCACACCCTTTACAGCCTATAAAAGTCCACTGCTGACCCATGGAACTCCCCATAAATTGCCTCATACGGGGATTTTGTCATAGTTACCATGCTTGGTCGGCGGTTTCGCAAATGCAGTTTTTTATTATTATTTTAAGTTGATGTCAGGAAGATGCTGCTGCCTATCACCTATTTCAGTTTCCCTCCGACGTTTCTCACGAGGCCCATGGAAATATATGGGCTCAGTTCTTAAATTATATAAAATAACACATGCAAACACATTTTTATTTTATTTTATAGACCATCGAGGACAATGAGCACACAGTCTCCCTGATGAAGCCGTGCTCCACAGACATCTACTTCTCGTCTCTCAGACACGTTGTCACCGGTATCGTCTTTACCATTAGGGCACTCCGTCGGTTTACACGGACCCGTGCCCTATCATTACGGGGGCCCCCGAAACGATAGGCATAGGCCTTATTCGCTTACGCTATACAATCTTTTTTTCTATTTTAGGAAAATATAACTCGACAAAAAAATTATAGAGTAAATGAGAGTGTTGTTACTGACTTTTTGGTAACCCTGAGCAATAACAAGCCGGAAACACACATTGATAACATAACACATTGCCGGAAAAAGTGGCATTGACAGATTTCTTAGATAGAAAACATGTAGTACCGCGTTTCACCGCCATCTAAACGTTTTTGTCGGGCTGTACAGTCGCCTTAGATTTTTTTTTAATTTTCGGCAATCTATGTATTTATAACAATGAGAAAAAAAATATCATTTCGTAATGTTTAATAAAAATAAACACTTCAAAAGACTTAACGGCAAATGATTTAGTAAATAATTGTTACGATCTTTATTTTTAGATAAGTGAATCTTTAACGTAATAAATAAAAATAATACACGTATTGATGTTGTTATAGAATATTTTCTTTTTTTGAAAAAAAGTTTAGAAATGTTTAGAAGTTTAAAAAAGAAAAGTTTACTTTTTCCCAAGAAATTATCGTCCCCGCTATGAAATCTGTCAAATATTTTACCTCATTGTAAAGTGGAGCAGCCCTGGTGGCAGAAAAAGTCGTGGAGTTCATTAATGACATATTATTTGATTTTTACCAATTAACTGTAATAAATGTAAGATCATAGCAGACAAATGTTTTTATCATTCACTTTTTTTACTTTCCAACAGGACCCCAAATTCTTGTGTGCCCGAGGGCTCCGGTATGGCCTAAGACTGCGTTGATTGTCGCCCTTGAGAACTAAGATGAAAAGCCTTGTTGTTGTGTTGTGTGTATAAGGTTCTCCGTTTCTCTACAATCACTATACCAATTCATTATTATTCTGCTATGATACAGCATTACTCAGCTGTTTTACGATGGTGTCCTGTGAGAGCGCGCTCCTACCGCGCTCGAGCCGATTCATTCGTACCACAGCCATATATAGCTGCAGCGCGGCTCTTCATTGTACAAAAATACACAAAAATCATAAATAAATTCATAGAAGTAATAATACTACGTAATAAAAGGGACGCCTAGACTTTGTTGTTTACAACACATGTGAGCGCTTACGGACTCAAATTGACTTAGTATGTGCTACAAAAGGTTACTTTGTGCCTACTGCTACGCGCCACATTAAAACATTGCTTACTAAGTTACGATCAATTTTTCATAACTTCTTTCATTAACTGCGAGTGGACAAGAACACAGTAGTGTTTTAAGTTTAAGTTTTGTTTTAAGTTTGACCGCTATGTGTGTCTGACTGTGGCACCGTAGCTTAAGAGCTATGATGAAGAGAAGATTTGGGTGCCGTTTTTATTTATTTAAAAGCAGGTTTTATAGTTAAAAATGTTCAATTTGAGTTATTTGACTCACTTAGTTTAATGTGATTAAAAACACTATCATAATTTATGTACGCCTTTCTTAAACATGATTTAAAGTTTATTTCTGATGAGTATGAATAACTATATAATATTCATATTTGGTATTATTTACCGTACCTGCTATTCATCGGCAGCTGACAGTTTTTATTCTGAATTGCGGGTCTAGTAGCATACACAAAAGGCTTTGATTCTACATTGTACTCATGCATCACATGTAGTCTGGTTTGACTGTTTTACTTTGTTTACTTCGCACTACTTTCCATGCGTCGCACAACCATACTCACACGTCATACAATGGTCACACGTCGAACTATACCGAGGCGTCACATCATATGATGATCTAGCAAGATGATGTTGTGACCAGGATTATGAAAGGAATGCTTCGGTGGTTTGGTCATGTAGAAAGAATAAACAAGGAAAGAGTGACAAAGCAAATTTATGTTGCAGAAGTGAACGGCAGAGTCAGGAAGAGACATCCTAGACGAAAGTTTATCGATCAAATTGGCAATATATTGAAGATTGGCCAAATTAAGAGAACCTTTAACCAACGAGCATATATGGATGTAAAGGAGGCGAGAAAGTAGAAGTGTAACGATTGTGCCAAATGGAAGTCCATAGTCTCTGTCTACCCCTTTGGTTGACCGGCGTGAATGTTTATGTATTCATCCGTTCATTCCATCCGTAGTGGACTTACTCTGAGCAGATTTCGCGGCACGTAGCCCTCGCGCCCCGCGTCGTCACGGCACCACCACCACTAGCGCTCGTTGTCGTCGCCCTTGCGCACCCCTGCACCGGTCTAGAGTACACATAAAAGTGTGATCCCCAGCGGACTCACCCCGAGAAGGTTTCGCGGCACGTAGCCTTCGCGCCCCGTGTCGTCGCGGCACCACCACCACTCGCGCACGTTGTCGTCGCCCTTGCGCACCCCTGCACCGGTCTAGTAGTACACATATACCTGTGATCCCCAGCGGACTCACCCCGAGATGGTTTCGCGGCACCTAGCCTTCGCGCCTCGCGTCGTCGCGGCACCACCACCACTCGCGCTCGTTGTCGTCGCCCTTGCGCACCCCTGCACCGGTCTAGAGTACACATAAAAGTGTGATCCCCAGCGGACTCACCCCGAGAAGGTTTCGCGGCACGTAGCCCTCACGCCCCGCGGCGTCACGGCACCACCACCACTCGCGCTCGTTGTCGTCGCCCTTGCGCACCCCTGCACCGGTCTAGAGTACACATAAAAGTGTGATCCCCAGAGGACTCACCCCGAGAAGGTTTCGTGGCACGTAGCCCTCACGCCCCACGTCGTCACGGCACCACCACCACTCGCGCTCGTTGTCATCGCCCTTGCGCACCCCTGCAACGGTCTAGAGTACACATAAAAGTGTGATCCCCAGCGGACTCACCCCGAGAAGGTTTCGTGGCACGTAGCCCTCACGCCTCGCGTCGTCACGGCACCACCACCACTCGCGTTCGTTGTCGTCGCCCTTGCGCACCCCTGCACCGGTCTAGAGTACACATAAAAGTGTGATCCCCAGCGGACTCACCCCGAGAAGGTTTCGTGGCACGTAGCCCTCACGCCCCGCGTCGTCACGGCACCACCACCACTCGCGCTCGTTGTCGTCGCCCTTGCGCACCACCTGCAGCCGCGCGCCCGACTCGAACGACAGCTCGTCGCTGCGCGCCGCCGCGTACGAAAACACCGCGTACACCAGCCCGTTGTTCATTATACCCAGCTTCTCTTGGACACCTGGGAACGTGTAGGTGGATGACGTTATTCTCTCCATTTTAGTAACAGCAGTATCAAATAGAAGTAGGAGTAGAAAAGAGGCTATGTGCACGCATTCTTTGGCGAAGCTAGAGCTCCAAGCTAGGGCAAGCCCAAGATATAAATTGATAAAAATATAGATTGTTGTTTTTAGCAGTTTTATAAAAATACACCAATCTTGATCTCTCTCCACGCTTCAGTTTCATATTCAGTGCTGTCAAGGACGTGTTTAACAAAGCACACAGAAGGCATACCACTGCTAGATAGATTGTATTACATATCAGCAATTGCATAGCTTCGGTGGCTTTGAAGAAAGCCGTTTGGGTTTGGTTTAAGCGAAAGAAAAAAAAATATTTACACCCAATACAATACATGAACAAAAGTAAAACACGAACAAAGTACAAACAAACTATGTACAAAATTAAAAAAAAATTATTTATATTCTAATGGATAAGAGATAAGATAAGATAAGTGGAATCGTCTCGCTTTCTTATGGAAAGATTTAATTACGTCGACGTAAAATGTTGGTGAATTATCCTTGTGTATTATCTCAACAAAGTTTAAAGATTTCCTCTCCGATTATCACTTTAACACACTTCAATTCATCACAAGGAACACTATTATCCTCCATTTTCATTAAAAATCTTAAAAAAAGCATAAATTTTGAACTCGTAATATTAAATCGCTTAAGATAAGCACACAGAGTAAATAAACATTGAAACGTGAAATTAACTTGCAAACGTATTGCCCGCGCGCCTCCGCTTTTAACAAATTTATTCCCAAAAGCCTGGCTTTAAATCTCTATACTAATTGCTATATATACAATCGTAGTTATATTTCATTATAGAATATTTTGCCATAGGTTAGAAAGAGAGCGATCGTCTTCTCGAAAGCCCCGTAAAAAGCCCACGCGAGCGAGGGAGACAACTATTAGCTCTATTAAAACTCATTTTTTATGACAGCAGCAGTATCGCTAAGGCAATACGAGGTCATCGGTCGACATGTGTCGAACAGTGGAGTGCGCGGGAAATTTGAAATAGCTTGAAACATTTTAAGAGGTATTTTATTAGTTGTATTATTGATTGATATTATTGATTGATACAGGTTTAATAAGGCAAGCCCGGCTTTTCGGCTTTAATGGAAGCTTCGCCACTGCACGCATTGAATTTTAGTAAATGAGCCACTAAATTTAACTCGGTGTTAGGAAAAAATCTATAATTTTCATCAATTGTTTTCCAACGTTGAGCAAAGCTTGGTCGCTCAGTTCATCACAACAGACGACATCTGAACTTTTCATTTTATTAAAATTAGTTTTTTTTTTTAAATAGAAATAATAGCGTGATAAACGAGCACAGTCTATCTGATGGTAAGTGGATGTTTATGGCACATAGACATCTACATTTATCCTCGATTAAGAATCAAAATGCGGATGCGTTGTCACCCATGAGGAATGCCTCGTTTCCAGTAAAAAGGGTCTCAGGTTCTGTACATTATATATATGTATAATTATACGAAATACTGCTGATTTTAGCTGCTATTTTGCGCTGGTATTCTATGAGAGCATAGTCCACGATCGAGCCGACCCATTTGTGCTACAACCATAATATAGCTGCAGCCTAGCTCTATTACATATATATATTCGATGGTACTTACTGTATAAATATTCTGAACATCCGTCAAAGCCTTCTTCATCTTCTTCACATTTCTCCGCTGCTGTTTCATGGTCCGACAGGGTTGTTGCAAATATGCAAGCGCCTGCACAAAGAAATATCTTAAATTATTTCTTTATCGAGGGACCGTTTTTCAAATTAAAAGACAGAAAATCGAAGATTTAGTACGTAGTAGTAGACGGTAGTGATAGCCAAAAGTAAGTTTTCTGGATATCGTCGTATAAACAATTTAGAACAGGTTTTTCCTATCTTTGTCTCTTGGGAGCAGTGATTTGTTGGAATTTAGGTTCTTTCGGTACGACGGCTCAAACTTATTAAGATAAAATTAACATAATAGTTATTTAAAAAAATCCTTTTCATGGTTGTTACAGATATAAGCTATTCACATCATATAACAGTTCGTTAATATATAATAGAAAAAAGTTAATATATAATAGATAAGTTCACGTTTTTTACACCTTAAACCCGAGCGCTTATCTCCTAGTTACCACGACTCAGGTAATATTCAGTGGCGAAGCTAGAGGTCCCAGCTAGGGCAAGCCCAAGATATAAATTGATAAAAATATAGATTGTTGTTTTTAGCAGTTTTATAAAAATACGCCAATCTTGATCTGTCTCCACGCTTCAGTTTCATATTCAGTGCTGTCAAGGACGTGTTTAACAAAGCACACAGAAGGCATACCACGGCTAGATAGATTGTATTACATATCAGCAATTGCATAGCTTCGGTGGCTTTGAAGAAAGCCGTTTGGGTTTGTTTAAGCGAAAGAAAAAAATATTTTCATCCAATAAAATACATGAACAAAAGTAAAACACGAACAAAGTACAAACAAACTATGTACAAAATTAAAATAAAATTATTTACATTCTAATGGATAAGAGATAAGATAAGATAAGTGGAATCGTCTCGCTTTCTTATGGAAAGATTTAATTACGTCTACGTAAAATGTTGGTGAATTATCCTTGTGTATTATCTCAACAAAGTTTAAAGATTTCCTCTCCGATTATTACTTTAACACACTTCAATTCATCACAAGGAACACTATTATCCTCCATTTTCATTAAAAATCTTTAAAAAAAGCAAACATTTTGAACTCGTAATATTAAATCGCTTAAGATAAGCACACAGAGTAAATAAACATTGAAACGTGAAATGAACTTGCCGTATTGCCCGCGCGCCTCCGCTTTTAACAAATTTAATCCCAAAAGCCTGGCTTTAAATCTCTATACTAATTGCTATATATACAATCGTAGTTATATTTCATTATAGAATATTTTGCCATATGTTAGAAAGAGAGTGATCGTCTTCTCGAAAGCCCCGTAAAAAGCCCACGCGAGCGAGGGAGACAACTATTAGCTCTATTAAAACTCATTTTTTATGACAGCAGCAGTATCGCTAAGGCAATACGAGGTCATCGGTCGACATGTGTCGAACAGTGGAGTGCGCGGAAAATTTGAAATAGCTTGAAACATTTTACGAGTTATTTTATTAGTTGATATTATTGATTGATTCAGGTTTAATAAGGCAAGCCCGGCTTTTCGGCTTTAATGGAAGCTTCGCCACTGGTAATATTATACAATGTTTCAAATTAGAATACCAACCCTTTTGCTATTTACATTTTGTACTCCGTTATTAGTCGTTACTGCTACTTTTGTAACTTAGAAACATTAAAATTAATGGTACCTACGTCGGACTTGTCCGCGTTTGTTAATTTTGTAAATGCTTGATGTTATATTAACTCTGCCTTCAGCTGGGCTACTTGCCATCTTGCTAGGTAGATATAACAGATCTAACTCGTAATGCGATTATATTCTTTCTTTTTTAACCGACTTCAAAAAAGGAGGAGATACTCAGCTCGACTGTATTTTTTATGCGTTATCTCAGAACTTTTTACTAGGTGAACCGATTTTGATGTTTCATTTTTAATTTCAAAGCTGGTGATTCTCATGTGATCCCATATAAATTTGATCAAGATCTGACCAGAAGTTTTTAAGTTATCCTTAATAATGCGTATTTAATTGACTTGGACTACAATGATGATGTTCTTATTTTTACATTGCATGTAGGTACTTTATTTTATAAAAATAGCTAAATGAATATAAAAGTCTAAGAGCTATAAAATACTATAAAAGACTAATCGGCTTTTGTTATTTAATTTAATGAATGATAAAGTATCTACACCTGTACCGTTAGTAGATACGCTTCATTAAAACATTTACTTATTTTCATTTCACAGTAAGGAAATGTGAAGTAAACATTTGAAGGACGTAAATGGCGAACTCTTCTTTGTTAAATAATCCTTTCGCAAAAGTGAGTAGTCTTATGTGTATAAGTTGGAAGTTTATAAGGGCTAAAGTAACGCCATTATTAAGTTAAGTTTGACTTACCATTATCGACGAGGAAACGCACCATTGGGAGGTTATTGCAAGATGCAGCACAGTGTAGAGGTGTCCAACCGTCTGAGTCCTGTGCGTTCACATCGCAACCGAGCTCCACTAAGAATCTGTAATGTATGAAGTTAAATAGTAAATAATTATTTCTGATAAAATTTTTGGTTTTACTATTCACAACCTGTGCAACGAAGGGTAGTATTAATAATAATGTCGACTAGAACTAGTATTTCGGTCACGGCGGCCCGTCTCAAAGGAGACTAGCCATCAGCGCATGACAGGATTATAGTGCTCAAGTGTATGCGCAAGCGCAGGTCCACCCTATCCCCTCGCTTTCAAAGTTCGATGGAACGGTAATTCGACACGACCGGTGGGAGATTAGGTGCAATACCAACGGCTTTACGTGCTTTTAAAGGCACGGGGATGAGACACCGATAACCTCCTTTCCGGACTGCTACTGAAAGTTTCTTGACAGAAAAACCCAATAACTGATTTTAGCTCAACCCGGGATTTGAACTCGAGACCTCATGATCAGCAATCGCGTTTAAGACCACTAGACTAACGAGGTAGTCAAAGGTGGTATTAAAGGCCGTTGTTACTTTTGTAACAAACAGACGCACTGAAGAACACAGAACGGACAGAAGTGTGATGAAGTGCAAACGGTTAATTGTCACATAGAGTTATAATAAACCGATGTGACTTCATGAGACAATACAAACACGTAAAATTTGTAACAAGTTTAGACGGTGCGTAACATCGATATCATAATATGTCACGAGCCTATCCTTTGTTGGTTTCTACAAAAACATTCTGTACTTGACCGGTTAAATCAATCGTCCATACAAGCGTATTTTGCTACGCGTAAAAGATGAGCCATAAATTTCGAATGTCATTTTATGTTCTATTACCATATTACCAGTTTATGTGAAATTGTTGATGCACTGTAATCTTAACAAAAAATTCCCAATTGTTTTACCAATTATGTAAAATGATTGAGTAAACATCCTTAGAAACTAGGATTACAAAACCAGCATATTCTAAAGAAATTGTTTTGTGTTTCCTTCTACAGTCGACATGCATGAAGCCTCATGTAAAACTTTCTTTAGTTTCCCTCATAGTTTTAACTATTAGCACTTTGTTTAGTGCTGATAAAAGTGAGTTCACAATATAACGGTTTATAAACCATTGTACGTTAAATACTAAAGTGTTCACATTTATATGTTTTGAGTGTCGATTTTCTTACCAAGTAAAACATTATATTACGTCTTGTGATTTAGTTTGATGAAAAACAAAACTTTTTCAACGCATTATGTTTATTGGTGAGAGTACCCATATGCTTGCATACGAACGCCATCATTAGAAATACTGCACTGCTGAACATTGGCGTTCAGCAATGCGAAAATATGCTGTAGTGATAGCAGGATGGATATCCACTAGAAATTAGAAAATTGTTTCAGTCAACCGCAATGTGTGGACCCACTGTTACTTTGAATTAATATAGTGTCCAAAAAATAAATATCAATTAGTTTGAATAACTTAAATTATACCTTAATACCTCTGAATAAAACTTACTTGACTATTTCGAAATGGCCTGCACAGATGGCATTGTGAAGAGCAGTTATACCTTCGTCGTTTGCAGCGCTTGCATTTTGCACCTGAAATTTTTAATAAAAATTTTGGTAATAATTTCTTAACGTTGGTTTTGTTAATGACAATAAATGAAATTTTCATTTTATTACGTTTAATTTGTACGTAATTAGTTACAATTTATTATTATTTTTACAATTTGATAAAAAATATTTACCTGAGTTGCCGTTTTCTTCACCAGTTCCAATTCACCTTCTAAACTGGCGTCTAACAAGAGTGCAAGAGGGTCGAAACTCACTCGCCTTGTGAGCGGAGCCTTGCCTCCTTGCTTGAGATTTCCTTTCTTTGATCGCCTCAGCACATTCTCAGTTCTCTGAGAATCCTGACCGTTCAAATCAACCGAGCTTATTTGTTCCGCTATATCCGATACGCCGTTATCTTTACTGTCCTCTTGTCTTTCACTCGAACTTAAAGATATGTTATTGTTTAGAGATCTGTCGACTTCGTCTTTCTGTTTCGTCTTGTCTTTTAGGCCATTTTGCATTTCAGAGTTATCCAGGGTTAAATGATCCATTTCGGGGAACAAAAACGCTGGTGGCATTTCTATGCGTCGATTTATACTGACGCTGATGCCATTCTTAGTGTTATTGAGGTTTCTTAGTTTAGGCTGTTCGCTTAAAGGAGGCTTCCTGATAGTCAATGGACGTGCTTTGATGATCATTTCGTTACCGCTGCTAACGTTGGTGGTTTCTTTTTGGATCTGCTGCGTTTCGCCCTCGTTCAATGATTCTTGTCCGAGTATTGTCGGCATATTGATGGTGTTCTCCGTAGTTTGATCATTATTAGCAGATTGTCTCGGTGGAGTCTGTAAATAGAATAATGACGACGATTTTTTGAATCGGAGTGTTTTTTAAACATAGGTATAAGATATTACACCTTGGGTTTAACATCTTTTTTTTAAATCACGATACATGTAATATGCATGTGACACATTGAACATACATTATTAAATGATTTTTTTGTTATCAATCATAAGAAAAAATACAAACAAAAAACTTTTGCCTCGCATTCAAAAACCTAAAACTAATTGATACTAATAAAACATGAAATAGACAACATCTGATCAACTTTCCTCTTAAAATAATAAAAATATATACGGGGGAGCCCTATGTTCATACCTGGACTTTGATAATATATAATGATGATTGATGATGGTAATATGTATCTTTATAATATGCACCATAACTTTTGCGAACTTGCGAAGTTGAACGTCGCTCCCAGAGAATTACTAGCGAAAATTAGGAACTTAATGCTGTTGTGTTTCATATGATTAGTGTAGAGGTTTAGCGATCCTCTTAATAGAAACGAAGCATTCCATTTCGGTCCTTAGGGGTGGCAATGCATCTGCATTTTGATTCTTAATCTAGTATAGATGTATATTATGTCTTTGGGAAACAACATCCATACACCTTCAGGTGGACTGTGTTCCCCACTTGTCACCCTTATTCTTTAAAAAGCGATGACTACACAGGAGGTAGTAAATTTTGATCACATTCAAATTTAAATATTAGGAACTTACTTACCTTGATAGTAGGTTTTGGAGGTAGTGCTGGCTTAGGAGATTTGTCTGTACCGCTGACATCGGGTGTAGATAATGGCGTACTAGCACTTTGCGGTGGAGACAACAAGATGCTTTGTGATGACGCATTCTGTCCGCTGAAGTTGGAACTCCCCGTACTAGTTGACAGTCCTGACGCCGTGTTTCTAACAATCTGGGGTTGGGAATTCACCATGTTACTAGCTACATGATTTGATGAAGATACAGAAATACTTTGGCTCTGAACTGTTTGTGGTTGAACCGGTTGGATTTTTGTTGATGATGTCTGATAAATGGGTGATGGTTTTCCACTTGAGACCTGAACCGATGTGGGTGCAACACTCGATACGGGTTTCTGTAATGAATGGATGATGACAATATTTACAAATGATGTGAATATGATATGTGATGAAGAAGATATAATTAATAAGGCATGTATGAAGGTATAGTAGTGAAATTGAATTTATTACGAAACTTACCCCGAACCCTATAGAACTGCTGGCTGTTGTGCTGGATAACGAATTCGGAGAGCTGCCCTTTACCAGGTTACCCTGTTGACTCTTTCCAAGGTTGGCTTTTGAGCTTTCATTGTTTTGACTATTATTCTGACTTAACCTAGAGTTTTGAGGATATGCGTGATTTTCTTTCCCTTCCTGGTTACACCTACTAGAAGAATCAGATTTTTGCAATGGATATGTATGTTCTTGTTGATATGTCGCTTCAGTTTGACTTAAAGGCGTGGCCAGACTTTTGTTAACAACCGACAATGGTGTCGAATGTACCGTCATATGATTTATATTGGCTGCATTCTGTTGATTTTGATTTTTGGCGTCTTGTACATCGATTGCTTTACCGTTTATTTCTGTTTGTTTTATTTTACCGTTTCCGCTTAGTGGAAATTTGGTGTTATAGGGCAAAGTTTGATATTTTGGATCAGATTTACTTGCAGCAAATTCTGGTGGGAATTCTTGTTCATTTATTTTTATTTCTTTACCTGTTTGGTTACTATTTGAACTACTGGTACTGTTAGGACTGTATTGTGGTTGTTTTGGATATTCAGCGTATTTGTTCAGGTGGTCGAATATGGTTTTTTGATCGTATGCACTGGTGACGTTTTGTTGAATGAAATTGTTTACTTCATGTTTATTTTGAAGTTGCCCTTGTTGCGGATATTGATTGTCCTGTCCGACCGCTACATGAGGATAGTTGCCGTTAAAAAGTGGATTCATCAATTGTTTTTGGTGTAAGTAGTGAGCCTCTTGCTGCGTGAGATGACTTTGTATGTTGTCGCTCTGTGTGAGCTGCTTTAATGGCACGTTGTTTTGTATTACGTTCTGCTTCAAAGCCTGAAAATAATAATTGTTGTTAATACTGGAGCATAATTATCATTAATGAAGTTTTAAATAGGTTTCATAAATGTCCGACTGCAATAAGACGTTGTTGATTTTTATCACGTTCTTCTTATGTCACTTTCTTGTTTGTTTGTCTGTCTCTGTGTCTGTCTGTCATTTGGGGTGGAATCTTGCAACTCAAATTTAAAACACTTCCCAATGAGCTGGAAATTTGAAATTTTTAACATAGCTCCAAAATGGATGACAATATAGGAACAAAACACAAAACGTGGCTTATAAAATTTTTTCTACAACAAAATAAAAAAATCACATGTTTATAAATGCAATTATGTCTTATGATATTACGTTGATAAAAATTTAATTTTAGATGAAAAATACTGTTTTGTTTACATTAATAAAGAAAAAAACGAAAATACATTTGCACTGTTAAACCTCCCTTTATCGTTCATCATAAGCCTTTTTTGATGTCGGTTCATAAAAGTTATTTTACATCAAAGACAAAGATTAATCGGTATAATGATCAATTGTTTTAGATGTATTTTTATTACCTGGAAATTTGTATTATTGCTTAGGCTCTGCGCATGCGGAACATGATTATAAGGTTCGACGGCAGCAACATTACCCCGCGCCTGTTGATTCTTTGGTTGACTATTTATCGCGGCTGCAGCTGGATAATTGGGTAATTGTTGCATTGGTGTTGGGTTGTTGGTTCTGTAAGTAAAGTATAATTTCACATATTTTAATAATAATAATCGATATTACGAGTACCTGTATTAAACATCCTTATTATTTAAATATACATAAGTATAGATAGCTATTATAATATGTTTCTATGTACGTTTCTAGGACAGGCGGAAAAAAGGACATTGACCTTTGACGATATCATCGGGGTAGGCAATCTTTTTTGTTTAGGTTCATTTTTTTATCCTTTTATCATTACATAAATCATCAGAGTGGGAAGATAAGGGTGCCGAGTGCGAAGTTCTTTACAGGCCCTATGTCCATTATTATATTATAAAGAAAGAAGATTATCTTGTATCTAAATGAATTAAAAAGTAAATTAATATTAATTTAAATTTATTACTTATAAATCACGAGTTATTACAATTTTAATTATTACGTTAATAGTAGGTAAGTACTTTAATAAGTAGGTAGGTAGGTAGTTGTATAAAACATAACCACAGTCAGGTAAAAAGATAAACTTTTAACGCTAAGCATTCTTAAGCAGCCAACCTTGAAGCATGCATAAAACTTCTCATAATAGATTGTCAGAGACACTTGACAGACTATTCATCTGTATCTATTTCAGTTAATTTTATGATGATGAAGACGTAGAAGAGTTCGTCACATTGATTATAACCTAAAATATTCTTTTTCATATACGTTTTGGATGGATATACGTCACTATACCACGTTTTTTCTTACATATTTATAGATGTTTACAACCACTATCGGTTACGACACTTTCGTGGTGACGTAAAGTCTTTATAAGATTTTCATGTAGATGGGCCCGATTTCATACTGGTGATAATATACAAAACGTCACAAAACAATAACGAAAACTTTAATACAAAACGTAATAATACAACTAACAAAACAAACTTAATAAAAATTAAAACAACTGCTAGAACCGAAAATTTTAAATCTCAAACTATCTAGCACGTAAGCGCATCCCAAACCAGAATGAGGAATGAGTTCTGCTCTATCCGCTTTCTCAAATACGCACGGCGTGAGACCTATCGCAAATCGCGTCGAAACAGGTTTATTATCTCTGAATGACCGCTTCCTTCACCCTACCCCGTACCATGAGACACGCTTAGCTCATAACGATACCTAATCTATAAAGAAATGTATGGAAGCAATAACTGTCGTTTTGTTTCGATGTTAACATAATACTTCAGGTCAATGTACTTTTTTCCGCCTGCCCTAGAAACGTACTAATTTATTAATAAATGAAACTTTTTAATACGAGTACAGTGTGAATAAAAATAATTAATAAAATATAATACTATTAATTATAGGTAAAATTGTATACTCTTTGGTTATAGGTTACATAATAGCATTCTTCTGATCAGGATTGATTAAATTAATTTTCAAGTTGTATTAAAATAGTTCACAGTACGGTTTAATTTTAAATTAGTCTATAATTACGCATCTCGAGTACTAATTTAGTGCACAGAGCACAAGTTGGGGAGTTTATTAATTTAAATTCTGTTCAGGAACGTGGCGTTGCATATGTTTAACAAACTTTAATGGGGGTTTGCCGTTCATTCATGCTCAGTGTTCCGGAATAGTTCGAATGAAACGCGGCATCGGTACGCGAATTTCAGAGTGCACTTGTAACCGCTTACTCCTACCGTCAGCGATAGTGTTGACGTTATTTTACCCACGTAATGGATTTTCAGCGTACAACTAAATATATTGAATTTTGAAATAGAATTTAAGTAGGAGAGGTAATTGGAATTACAATGGAAAATACATTACAAATTGAAGTAATGGGTTTCAAATTGGACTCAAATGAACCTGTATTTAATCGACAAACGAAGCCTGTTTTATATACAAGAAAAAATAATTGTCTAGACTTATATTAGATTCAGAGTGACCGACATAACCCAACGGATTAGTAAGCTGAAGTGGCAATGGGCCGGCCATATAGCTCGAAGAACCGATAACCGATGGTGAAGAAAGGTTCTCGAGTGGCAGCCTCGTACCGGTAGGTGTAGTGTAGAACGACCCTTCACTACATGGAATGATGACCTGGTAAGACATGCAGGAAGTCGATGGATGCAAGTGGCTCAGGACCGTGCTTTGTGGCATTACTTGGGGGAGGCCTACGTTCAGCAGTGGACTTGTGAAGGGCTGTAATGATGATGATTATATTAGAATCTTAAGAATATGATTTTACCTTTGCTGCTGTTGGGGTTGTCGGTGTGCAGCAGCCAACTGCCTATTGAGGGCCCGTTTCCTCAAGAGGCGTGCCTGCAGCTCGGAGACGCGTCGGTCGATGCTACGCATCTCTTCCTGCCGGGCACCCAGTGCCGCCCGCTGGGCTGACAGCCTGCCGTTCTGTTGCTCGTTCAGCTTATTGCGATACTGGAAAGAAAAATAAACTTACAAACTTTTTGCCTTAAACATATGTGGTTCACGGCTGGACAAATACCACTACCATTATAGGAAGGATTTGCTGATATCTCAACGCTCAGCAGTCGAATTGGCGATAGCCGTATAAGACGTTCCAAACTTTCGTTGCCTTGCCTTCAACGGTCTTCATCGGCTCTAGTAATTTCATCTACCATAGATGTCAACCGACGCTTCAAGATCACTCTTGTCGTTATTTTTACATATACATAAATACTTTTTTATAGAATAAGGATGACAAACGAGCACACAGTCCATCTGATGGTAAGTGGATGCTGTGACCCATAGACATCTGCATCTGCATCTGTGTTGTCACTTCTGAGCTCTAAACATGGAATGCCTCGTTTCCAATAAAAAGGGTCTCCGGTTATCAACATTCACCATACGAAACACAGCATCATAAAGCTGCTATTTCACGCTGGTATTCTGTGAGAGCATGGTCCTTCACTGGTCGAGCCGACCCATTCGTGCTTCCAATAGCTCTACCGCCGTATGAAATGATAGTTTTCCATTTGACTTTGAATCTCGTAAGTATGTTAACGTTAGGCAAGTACACTGATCTACGAATAAACAAGATACAGTTGTAGTTTTAATCTTGGGTCTTCATAGCTTAGTGTCTACTTAAGATAAAAATGTATTTGTTTGTTCATTGTGTCTGTTAATTCCCTTATAGGTGTATTAGGTCTATATTCAAAGACAAACTCGAGTTTAAACTTAAACTTATAACTTATATCGGCTCTTCAATTCGTCTCAAATAATGCGGTTGCCTCTATAAAATCATGGCGAAATAACGTGTGAAATTCACAGAAAATGAGACGGTTGTATCTCGTATATAAATACACTGGTATCGAACTGAGTAATCAACGTAATGGACAGTACAGTACATAGTTCAGAGATATCGAACATCCATTAATAGAACCCGATTTATCTGACCACGAAAACATTATAGAGCTAAATCAAGTTCATGAGAATGACTTTTTCCGCGTCGATGAATTTTCTCCTTCATTTTTAGGGTTGCGCTATTAAAAACGAGGAACCTGTTCGTCTATCCCAATGTGTCACAGCTGGCCACAGCAACATAACTTTTAGATTTTTTGACGAAATTTAATTACATTGATAACCAAAAGTCATTTAAAGTTATTTCTTTCGATGTCATAAAATATGTTAGTATTGCGTAATATGTAATATATTATTTTTGTGTATTTCCTTTTTTATGAGGCTACATTTAAATAAAATACTATCATAGCGTTTAAAATTTAAAGTCAGGTAATTACTAACACATCGGAATCCTGATAAAACCTTGAGCCATACTGTGTATAGAAAAAAAGACCCATACAGATAGATATTTAAACGGTGATTCTCACCACCATCCTTCACAGTTAGCTACCGTGGGTAAATCTTTGTTTCAGAGAGCACGAGGGATCTGTGACAGTAAACACCTGGCTGCAGAGCTCCACCATGTCAAGCAAGTTTTGCATGACAACAAGCTTCGAGTCCCGCGCCTACGTCACAGTGAACGAGTGAAGCCGGCCACAGTCGAGCGTGTACCTGCTGTACTGCCATATGTTAGAGGAGTCACTGACAAGATTGGCTACATCTTGAAGCGCGCTTCCATCAAAGCATACTTCAAGCCGCTGAAGAAGATTCGTCAGTTTTTACCATCGGTCAAGTGTAATGTCCCTGTGCAAGATGCAGGAGTGTACAAGCTTGATTGTGAATGTGGTCTCTCCTACATAGGACAAACTAAAAGATCAATAAAAACCCGCGTTAAAGAACATATAGCTGATGTGAAGAATCGACGCTCCGGGAAGTCTGCAGTCTGTGAACACATACAGGATCGCCCCCGTCACTACATCAGATTTGATAGACCGCAGATCCTCGCTAAAGAACACCGATTCCTTCCAAGGATGATTCGCGAGGCTATTGAAATCAAAAAACATCCTAATTTCAATAGAGAAGATGGCTGGGTGCTACCATCTGCTTGGGATCCTATAATAAATAAAATTAAATCTCAACCCAAGCATACAACTGCAAGACTTCAAGATACCATAAGTTCATACTGCATAGATCGGAACAAAAGTTAAATTTTAATCTATGGTAACCGCGGTTAACTATGACATATGGACGTTGAACATCTCAGTCCTGCCCGTGACCATGAGTGCTGTAAAGCGTTCGAAACGTCGGGTAATTAAAAAGTTAAATACACGCGATAAATTCCGTAAAAACTAGTATTATTTCAATGTGTATTGTTCGCGTAAATATAAGAAATCATTTTTTATTCAATGTCGATTATAAACAATACGTATTGAAAGTCAATTTTTTCATTTACCACTGGTCCGCAAAAAAAATCTCTGTCCTGGGAAGAACCAGCAAGAATCCCTGCGGGACTATTTTTTTTAATTAAAATTAAAATATTTATATATATATAATATTTTAAACAAAAATTTTTAAAATATTCTAATAAATCTTTTTCAGTTCTGTGGTTTTCTTCACATTTTTTTACGTACCGCGCTTTTACTTAGCCTGAAAAGATCCAGATTGCCCTAATCCAATTTCATTTTGGAAGTATTCCGTTAGATTGGAACCGTAAATTAAGAGAAGTAGCAAATTAGACTGCTAAGCTCCGAAGTATCGTTATGAATCCAGCTAAGTATGCATCTTATTAAAGGTATCTACTTAGTGGATTACATAGATATATGCATATATAAAAACGTTATAGTATATTACTTTCCTAATTCATTTCTGCATTATTTGTATGTCTAAAGATAACGTTATATTGAAAAACATTTTTTCATAATGCGTTTATTAAACCGCTTTTCTCTCTAGTCGGGTAAAAATTTTATTTAGGTGAACGAAGTAGAAGCCTGTGGCATGGATATTTTTTTAATTTATATGAAATAATTATTATGGAATTGAACTATTAATAAATATTACTCTTTTATCAGGCGGGTCAGGGGCGTCACAAATACACTGTCACTTGCCACGCGTAAAGTACTCTAATGATTTGATTTTTTTTTTAATCGCTTTAGTTAATATTTTTAAAATTAAAAAGCTTACTAAAACAAATTTGATAATAACTATGCCATAGATTTATACTGCATTCGCCTATTACACCCTATTTTTTCGACGGTAAAAATATATTCGTTTGGGCGACGCTTTGCAAGGTGAAAAATATTTGAAGTGAAAACTCATTTAGGCACTTGGGTGACAGTTACGCTCAGGTACATGAAATTGATAATAGTAATGTTGAAAATACAATTGATTTAATTTTATAAAATTGACATGTATTTATTAAATTTTTTTAGATAATAATTATTGTTTTTCAAGTAAAACAGCACAGTAATAGAAAATTTAATTACTGTATTAATACGTTGACAAAATAATTTCTAAGAAAAAACACTTCCTAAAAATATTTCTTAACAGTCCAAAAATAATGTTTACAAGTTTGTGAGCTAAGAACTTTTAACTTCTGACGTGCAGTCCCCACGACGGACAGTTTTTTTTCTCAGAGATGATATGACACAAATTTATACAAACTTGGAAAGTAAAGCATTATCTTAATACAAAAGTTCATTCAACTCGTTAGAGACGGCTTCAAGAACCAATTACATATATACAATATATACAAGAATTTCTCACTTAAAGTAAAGGATAACAAAGATACTAAGAACAATCTTGCCTACTATTAACTTACGAAATTGAATTTTTAATAAATTACCTTTTACATTCTCACTATTAACATTTTGAAGTAGATAATATGGCTTTTAAAAAAGTTTATATTTCATTGGTTTTCCTGAAGTTGGTTTTTTGAAATGGCTAAAAACAAAGACATTTAAGTAGTATATATATATATATATATATATATATATATATATATATATCTCTTTGGCTCAAAATGATTTTGTGTTAATTGTCAAATAAGGTTTTTGACTTGACATTGAGATCAATGCTGCATAGATGACATATACATGATGCATGGTGCGTTTTTGATTTAATCACCACCTCCCAATGAATTTTATTTATTGGAACTTAAACTTGGAATACCTTTCTACACAGGAAAATATCAACTATAAATAGGCAGCAAAAACGCATTTAAAAAAATTTGCGATTTTGTTCATGGTCCCCGTTTTTATAGCGGTAGCATCAACGCAATTTCACGAAAATGGCATTGTAAGTGTATCGTAAACTACTACAATTCAGTTCTCCCTGGACAAAGGACTTCCCCAATGAATGCCACAAAGCACGGTCCCGATCCTTCTGCATCCATCGACTTCCTGCGTGTCTTACCAGGTCGTCACTCCATCTAGTGGTGGGCCGCCCTACACTTTGCCTAACGATATGAGGCATATATTCAGCATTGGTTTAGTGAAGTGCCATAAGAGGGAAAATTTATAAAAATATAAATTAAATTTTTGGAGCATTTCTTGGAGGGTGGCCTATGTTCAGCACTGGACTTGAAAAGTCGTAATGATGATTATGATAACGATGATAATTATGATGAAACGGAAGTTAAGTAGGTATGAAAAAGAATATAACCGCGTAGTGGCCGTGTAAGAAAATCCACTATCCCACATCATCCGTCGTTTCATCCAATGAGTGTCGTAAGAGTTGAAAGAGAGAAACTGAAACAGGAGATGGGCAGCAGCATCTTCATGATAACAAATCAAAATTATTAAAAAACTGCGGATACCAAGCGCCAGCCAAGCGTGGCAAACAAAATATCTAGCAAAATCCACCCAATGAGACAATCTATGGGGACCGACTTTGTTCAGCAGTGGCTTTTTGTAAGTTGTAATGGTAACGTAAAGAGAATATGACCTACCTTATACCTTTAGTAGTTTTTTTTTTATAGGATAGGGTGTTAAACTAGCACACAGTCCAACTGATGTAAGTGTCCGGCCCATAGATATCTACATCTATCCTCGATTACAAATTAAAATGCAGAAGCGTTGTCA